TCTAATTGTATCTCATTAGATTAAACTCTGTTCTAGAAATTTCCAAGATACTTAGAAGCAGGAAAACCTTATCTGTTGGTTCACTAGAGTCTGTTTTTCAGAGATTTAAGTAAGAAAAATGCTTCCCTACTTTGCCCATCGACTTCCTCATTTCCGGTTCTTTGTTTACTTTTCTCCCGGACTTTTTCTTGTTGCTGTTGTTGTTGTTGTTGTTGTTGTTTTTTAAAACAGGTATGATCATATCATTTCCCAGCTTAAAGTATTTCTTTGGCTCTAGGCTGCAAATGCAGTGAAAGGATTCAGGGGCTTTGTGAAAGGGAAAGACCCTGAGATCTCTCCGGCCCTCCTGCTAATGCCTAGCATCTCACCTCTCCATGAAACTTCCTGCAGTTCTCAAAAGCACACACAGCAGCGCGCATTTGTTACCACGTCCTACCAAACCTAGGCACTGCACTGCCGACATCCTTAAGGGTGCAGTATTGACACTGTTGTCCCTAAGACCCCAAATCCTTCCGGTTTTATCCCTCCTAACCCCAGATCTCTCTCCCACTCCACCCCACATGTGCCCCGTCCCCAAACCAGACTAGTTCCCAGACACCTGATAGCTCTTTTATCTTCGCAGCTTTAGCTTTGTCTCCCTGGGAGGCAGTCCTTAGTCCACCCAATCTTGGTAAACAGTCACTTCTTCCAGAAAGCTGTCCTTTTGTACTTAATCTGATAGTGCCTCTTCGGGGCTCACAAGTCACGCCAGGTACCAATAATATAGAATACAATTTTTTTTTCATCCATGAAATCATTATTTTACCCCTCCTCTGTACCAAGTGTTGTCCACCATCCTGTCACCCAGCTGCAAATAAGACAGGATTAGCACATTGCAAGCTCTCACTAGAGGAAGAAACAACGTCTTATTTGACCTTCTAAAAAGTACCCTTACCCTCCCTCTTTGTTAAAGGGCTGCTTATCCTCCAGCATCCAGCTTCTGTCATTGTGTTTATTTTGTTGCTATAATTGTTCTAATTAACCCTCAACATAGATGCTTATTCTATAGACTGCAAAATGGGGTTCAGTGTAATTTGCCCAAGATCACACAGATCCTAAGTCTCAAAAGCAAGATTGAAACTCTGTCCTGTCTGATTGCAAAGAATAAATAAATCAAATAAATAAAATTAAAATTACTAAATACTTGATGTAGCCACAAAGCAAGCATTCATTTAAATATTACCTATACCACACTTGAGGGGGATCTGGCCTTACATTCTCTGTATTCAGAGCTTCCTTCTGCCCTCCTCCAGCAGTCAGAGTATTTAAATATGGCCACCAGGAGCAACAAGAAACTGTTGACATTGTTGCACCTGCAAGGCAAATTCTTAAAATCTTGTTCTCACTTAGATTTCTAATTCTTTAAAATATATTCCATTTACATTTAGGAAAACACCTGGCTCTTTCTTGAAGTAGTATAAAATTATGGAATGATCAGGGTATTAAAGATTGAAGATTAACCACAGCTCTTGCTTACCTGTCCCTGACCTCACCACACACAAACACACAGACATGCACACACCATCCATGCCTCGTTTGGAAGGTAAGGAAGTTAAGATACAGAAAGTAAAGTGACTTGTCCATATGTAGGCGTCGGGTTGATGTCAGAATGGGAACTAGAGCTCAGTTCCCCATATTTGCAGACTAGCACATTTTTACTCATGGGCAGTGACCCCACTCAAGATTCCATGAACGTGAAGACTTTTTTTTTTTACCTTTTGCTTTGTGCTTACTGTATTTTTAACTTTTCTGCATTGAGCACATCTGATTCCACCATCTGTATACTTGGTTACCAAAAATAGATACTCTAAGTCAATTTCTTAACAACCTGGTTTTTAAAAGATATTAAAAGGAAACCTCTCCCATTCTACTTGGCAGCCCTTCTGTTAACCATACAAGAGCTGTCTCAATATGATTTCATTGTCCTTTGAGCCTGAAATGCAAAACAGCAGAAATATAATCAGAATTAGTCACACCCTAAAGGATGAGCATTTATTAAGCACCTGTGATGTGATAGATTTGCAGATTTACATCAATAGCGGGATATCTGAAGTCCTGCCATTTATTATTTTCCTTTTGCTTCTTTACCCCCAGAGGATGTATGAACTGTCAATGGAAATTAAAAGGAAAACCAAGTTGAAAGTTAATCTTTCCTTAGGATGTCAGTATATTATATAGAGAGACTATATATACTGTTTACTTAGTTACTAACCACTGATTTCACACACACACACACACACACACACACATACACACAGTAGCGTTACAATTTTACAACAGTGTCTCCTAGAACCTTCCTTCCACAGTACTCTCTGGGTAAAAACTGAAGTCTCAATAGGCACCAAGGTAACTGTTTCCAAGAAAATGACTTCACAGCCTAGATCCTATCACTTTTCTATATAAAACTATTTTAAGGTGTATGAAAGGAAAAATATTGCCTGTACTCAGACATAGCTAAAATTAACTGAGCCACCCACCACTCATTCAGGTAAGAACTGAAAGAAGTTTAAAATCCGATGTGGTGGTATTTTTTTCCTTCTCCTTCAGCATATCAGGATGGAATCAGAGAAATGTAGACTGTTACTTATCAGTGAGACTTGACATCAGATGGTTTTTCCAAAGGCTGCAGCTTTGCCTGTGTGTCTTACAGCTGTGGGAGAGGCTATGGAAGGAAGTGTGGCAGGTCTTCTGTTTCAGCCATGCTGAAAGAAACTAATAATGTCATCAGTTAGCAACTAATGCAATAGTTGAATCACTGTAGCTTTTAGAAAACGAATTTTTTTTGCCTGCCCATGGGTCTGCCCTATCTTCTCTTCGAAGCAAACAAATGTTCAGCTGACATTTTACTATCTAGAGATTGATGGACAGTGCTTTTCCCATTTCAAAAACATAGATTTGCTTTCTGGTGTCTAGTTTCTCTCCCAGTGAAATGAGAATGTTACTGATGAGCTGTCAAATTAGCTGGCACATAATAGGCAGGAGATAAATATTTGTTGAAGGAATTAATTAATAACAGCTATCATTTACTGAATTCAAACCAGATGTGCTAGTGACTTTAGCATTGTTATTCTCACTTTGCACATGAGAAACCCACGGCCAGAAAGTTACAGAGGTGGATTCAGGACGTGGACAGTTTTTGACAGTATAACCCTCTCTCCTCTTACCTTGGGTAAGAATCCACGGGAGCCTAGGGCGGAAAAGGCCACCGCAAGGGTCATCTTGGTTCTACTATGTATTTGCTATATGATCTTCAATAGTTTTTCTATAATCTACTGAGCCTTGGTTTCCTTATTTGTAAGATAAGTCTAATAATAGGATGTATCTCATCATCTTGTTCGGAGAACCAAACTAGATCATCTGTGTCAAGTGCTCAGCACAGTGCCCAGCACATAAGAAGCCCACCATCAGTATTAGCTATAAATACACACTCCCGGGGCTTTCCAGAGCAACTTCGCTTAGTTGTCAGTAGACTGGTCTGTTTCTTCTTAGATAGCCAAACAGCAGTGTGCGTATATAGCCTGCTTTGTTATTAATGAAAAACAGAAGTTTCCGAAACCAAGGCTGAGACACATTACGGCAGAGGCAACCCCAGGCCCTGGTCTTCTCCCTGATTGTTGTACCGATTCCTGTGCTAACTGCGGGGTCACTGCTGCGGAGTTTACTTTCGCCAAAAAATAGAAAAACAAAACACTTTCCCTTAGTGCACTCACACAGTTGAATCAAATTCACATAAAAACAAAAACAAAACAAAACAAAACTTGGGGTGCCTGGGTGGCTCAGTTGGTGAAGCATCTGCCTTCGGGTCAGGTCATGATTCCGGGGTCCTGAGATCGGGCCCCACGTCGTTGGGCTCCCTGCTCCGTGGGAGTCTGCCCCCACCCTGCTTGTTCTCTGTCTCTCAAATAAATAAATAAAATCTTTGAAACAGATAAAAATATATATATTTAAAATTTAAAAAAAAAAACACACTTCACTAAATACTAAGAGAAAACCAAAAAAAAAAAAAAAAGCAAATACAGATGCTAGAAACTCATGTGCGCACATGTGTTTGTGTTGGGGGGAGTTACTTTTCTCTGAGCCAAGACCTTTGGTTTTATTAATTCACTTACCTAATAGGTTTTTTTCCCCTCTTCTTCTAATTGCCCATTTGTTTTACACTTGTATTGAGTGTTTGTTTTTGTAAAGCACCTTACTTAAATACTTAGCAGAAAAAAAAAAGGCCAGGTATAAAAAAAATTAATGATAGATAGATGATAGATAGATAGGAAGGGGAAAGTAAACAACTTTCCAAAATTTTTGCAATTCACCTGTGGACGGAAAGAGAACACTCTTCCCTCAGCCCACCTGGCGAGCACCATCGTGTTTCCCACCGCACAGAAGTCCACGAATGTCCTGCCCTGCTCTTTTCTCTTCCGTTACCATGTCCCAGGACTTTGAGGATTGTAGTGACTCATAGAATCAAAGCTTTTACCCTCCCTGGCTCAAATTATTGGCTCCGTCTGCTTTCAGACCACTTTGTAATTAAACTGAACCCCCCTAAAAAGGTGCTACCCATCACAGACTCAGGGTACCATAATACTTGATACTCCCTTCGCATAAGACACATTTCTACATATCTGTGTGAGAGGGCAGTTATGCCCTCAACCGGGGACTTTTGGATGCTATCATTTCATCTCCTGTATCCACCTCCATGCTTCATAAAAGGCATTCAGAGGCATTCAAGAAATAATTGTCAAATTGAGTTGAACTGAAAATATTTTTATCCTTTTCTCATATATTAGACTTGGGATGACAGAATTTAACAGCTAAATTAGGCATAATTGAACCCTCCACCGTTTCCAGCCATTGCTTTATCAGAAATCTAGATAGATATCCATGTTGGTTATTAACTTATGTTACCATTGAAGAGCTGAAATGTCTAATGAACTAAACTTAGCAAACTGCCATACTGATTTCTATAGGGATTCAAGGATATTTCTCTTGAGAGATTTATACACGGTGGAGCCAATGTTACAGGATTCCAGTTGGTCGATTTTAACACACCTATGGTGACCAAACTAATGGATCGTTGGAAGAAACTAGACCAGAGAGAGTATCCAGGATCTGAGACTCCTCCAAAGGTATGTGTTTACAGTACGAGAGCCAAAACAAGAAGGCAGAGTGCTATCTTGCTTGACTGCGGCTGGGTGTGTGTGTTGCATGACTCAGATTTTTCACCACTCTACCCACGTCTGCAAATGACTCCCCACAAGGGTTGATTTGGGGGTCACAACCAAATTTTAGCAAGTAGGCAAATTTACAAATGCAGGATCCATGAATGAGGAGGATCAGATGCACTCCCTTGAATTGTACTTGATTTTTTTGATGTCTCATCAAAGATGTAAAACATGATTTCTGATCTTGTGACTCCCTGCCCTAACACAAAGGAAATCTTCTGGAATAAAGGTATTCCACAAGATAGGCCTAGCAAGTCTTCCCAGTCAGATGTGCTTCTGCTTCCTGTCTGGCCAGCCAAATTGAACTGCCCTACATTTCCCCCTCCTTCCCAGTCCCTGTGCTCCTGCCTGGACCTCCACTGCTCTCCACTTCATTTCCATCTGTCAAATCCAACCACCTACTGGGTGTTTATCTCAAATGCTGCTTTCTCTAGGAAGCCTTTCCTTAGTTTTCCAGAAAATATGAGCCTTTCCGGCTGTGTGATTTCCATAATATTTGACCGTGTTATTCTCACCAAGGACTTACCATAGTTTTTTATGTACTTCTTGTTTCCCTTCTCTAAACTCCTTGGGAGCAGTGACGATCTGGGGCACATCCTGTCCTTGTGGTTCCCAGCCAGTGTCGGCACTGTTTTCAGAGAGCTCACAGACACCATATGCTGTTTCATTCTTGCAACCACCACAAGAAATAGTCACTGTTACCTTGTTCAGTTTGGTTTTGCTCTGTTTTGTGTTCCTTAGCTGAAAAATGCACACATTCCCATAAAACTATGAGTAGCAGAGTTAGAATTCATGGAGTGCTTTCTTCTCAAAGCCCGGACTCCTGGCGTTGAGCTATGATTCTGCCAAATTCTGTCTTGTTATCTGCAAACCTTGGTAAACAGAGCTCACTTCTCCATTGCAATCACTAGTTAAAGCAGGTAATAACTCTCGGCCAAGACCTTAGTTTTACCCTGCCCTAAAATGAAGTATTTATTCAATAAGAATTTTCTAGATGCCATCTAGAAGTATGCACCCATAAATATGATTTCTTGGACTTTAACACAGTAAGACATGTGGGAGGGAATTAAATCCCTTGAGAAGGTAAAACCTATTTAAACTTCTGCCTCTTTACATGTCTTAGCTCTATGACCTGTCAAAGGTCTTTGCTGCTCTAGCCAGCTATCCACTCTGTTCTGCCCCTCTCTGTATGATATCTGCCCCCCTCTGCATGATATCTGCTCCCTCTCTATGATATCTGCCCCCCTCTGCATGATATCTGCTCCCTCTGTGTGATATCTGCTCCCTCTGTATGATATCTGCCCACCTCTATGATATCTGCCCTTCTTCCTAGTTCACTTGTTTCATACCAATGGATGGACTTCTTAAAACACAACAAGTGCATTTGCTTTTTGGTGCCATCTCTGCTCAGCTTTTTCCCCCCTATTAAAAAAGCAACTGTGTTTTTTTCTTTTTTCCTTTCTTGATTCTAAAATACTAGCAGTGCATTCTTCTCATGCCCTTTATGTCTTTAGTAAGTTCTCCTTTATTTTTGTTTTTATTTTCTTTACAAAACAAAACAAACAAAATGATTTGGTGGCTTTCTCTACTCAAAGGTGTGCTTGGTCCATGCAGGGGAGGAGGTACATTCCTGTTTGGTTTTGCACCTTGCTTAAGCACCTTCATTTCCATCAGCCTCCCCATCCCAGTGGTGAGGGTGTAAGGCTGTCCGTAAGTCTATTTTGTCACATCTTTCAAGAATGTATTGCAAGGCTGTTAATTTATATGTCTCGTGTACATCTTTCTGATGAAGCTTTTTAACCAGGTTCTCTACCATTGAAAGGTTCTTTGTTAGGATTTATCTTCTTTATCTCATCCACGTTTCAGCCTCTCTCTTCCAGAATGCCGGCTGGTGTGCCTGCTAGTCCTGGGGCCTAAGTTTGCTTCCTGCAATTTGAACTTGAAGTGATTTTTTTTTCTTTTGCAAGCAGCCGAGCAAGGAGATCATCCTCCATATTCCACAGCCCAGAACTACCTCCACAGGCTGAGAATGTGTTCCTCCCCGAAAACTGACCGTGTGGATTTCCTGAAACAGATCATGCAGGCTTTTGGCCATGATTAGCCTTGGTGCTCTGCGGTGCTTCGGGAAAATTGTCCCCTCTTTTCCACGTGTTCAGGAAGTCCCTAGTCAAACTGTACACACATTCCCTGTTCCTTTTATTTTCAGCTTAAACTTAAGTTACATTTTCTTCTGTTTTTCCTGAGTATTGCTCTTCCTAGCCTGAATAATATTTTCCCAAGGGCTTTGTCTTTTCTCCCAGAGAAGTGAGGGGGAGTCCTCAGAAAGCACATGGCGTGCACTTCACTTCTCCACCCTGGCCCTGGGTTACAGTGGAAATGGGGGCGGGGGAGACTCGTCACTCCCGCACACATACTCACAACAGGTGGGGGCAGAACGATGCTCACTCCTGTGGAGCGCAGTGACCAGGGTTAAGTCAGCAGGTGTTGTTTCTGGCATCTTAGATCTAAGGAGTGGTAAACATTCCCACACTCTTCTGAGAAGCCAAACCAACATATACACTTCAAGTCAGCAAACAAATGTGAAATCTCAAGGAGCCCTGCTCGGCATTTCAGAAGAGGTATCCCTGCCCTCTGGGGACCACCACAGCACAGGAGCCAAGGCAGAAGGTGGCAGTCACGCACTTAGCCGCTTATACTTTATCTCTTGCTACTCAGGCACAACAAAAAGAGGTCTTGCTTTTCTCAGCTGATGGAAAACTGTGCATTCGAATTTCTGTTCTTCAGAGTGTGTTTTCTCCTTTTAAAATCAGAGTGGTAAAGGAGTGCCTGAGTGGTTCAGTCGGTTAAGCGTCCCACTCTTGATCTCAGCTCAGGTCTTGACCAGGGTCTCAGGGTCCTGAGTTTAAGCCCCACATTGGGCTCCATGCACACTTTAAAAAAAAAAATCAGAGTGGTAAGATTTGGTATACATTCTTTATAATAAAATGATAATAGAAATTTCTGAAGCTAGAATCAATTAATTATCAATAATTTATTTATCCTTCAGATAGGAGGGTGCTTAATGTCGTAAGCCCAAAGAGCCCCCCGACTGTTTCTGGATTGATAGGATTTTACCATTCACCATTATAATTACTTTCATTTTGTTAGTACACATCTGCTCTGACTTATGATGGAGTCCTTGTGATGGCCGAAACGTTCCGCAATCTTAGAAGACAGAAAATTGATATTTCCAGGAGAGGAAATGCTGGGGATTGTCTTGCAAACCCCGCCGCTCCCTGGGGCCAGGGGATTGACATGGAGAGAACACTCAAACAGGTAACTCACAATTTTATTTAAGTGCAGTTTATTTCACAGTCCTGTTTAAGTGGCATATTCAAGAAAACGGAATAATTTATCTGAGATTAAATATATATTACAATTGCCATTTTAATATATTAAGCCATTATCATTTTTGAGACATTTCTAAATAAAATACTGAGTAGAATACTATTTATATCTTATGTAGATGCTTAGTCAATATAAACTAGGTTACGCCACAGTACTAGACAGCCGCAAGTCCCAACAGCTATGAATAAGAGTGTTTCTCACTCAATCAAACGTTATATTAGGAGGAGTATTCTGTGTATTGTAATCACTCAGGGACCCAGGCTGACAGAGAAGCTAACACCCAAAATGCCACAAAGGGAAATCGAGTTATGGAAGATTTCAAATTGGCGATTAAATGCTGTGGCCCAGTGGTGGCACTCATCACAGCTGTTTACAACTCACTTACTTTAGTCACATAAGTCTACCTAACTACAAGGGCTCCGGGAAGTACAGCCTATCTTGGGGCCAGAAAGTACAAGATCCAGAAATATTTTTTAAACACTGCTAATGACTACCTCAGTAGATCTTTAAATTGCCTTGTAACCTTGGATTAGGTAATTTGTTTATTTTGCTCTGTTTGGGTTATACTAACATATTTTTCAAATGATTAATGGAATATGTATATATTTTTAATATTAATATTTTAAACATTCTGAAATATCCTGAGTTCAGATCCTAAGTAAAAATGAATTAAAAGGAAATTTGGAATAAAGTAAACTTGAATTTTTTAATATATTTATATTTTGAACTTCTTAATTTTAATATTATCAAGGAGAAATATGATCCACTGTGATTAGCAGGACTACTTAATATATTATGTGAACACATAAATAGAACCAAAAAGTAACTATGAATGAACCATATTTCCTTTCCTATAGGCACACTTCAGTATTGAGGAAGTATTCTTTATCACATAACAAAAAAAACATATTCCTCTTCCAAGTATAGAGCAGAATTGCTTATATCCCTTTGATTTACATCTTTCAGCTTATATCCCAGAAGCTCAAATACCCTTTGGTTTTTTAGTGAGTTATGTATAGTTTATAGTTGCAAACCCAATGTGTTGTCATAAGCGTAGCAGATGAAGTCAAGATTTCTGTAAGCAAAATGGCCCATGGAATATATGTATGGATTTTATTTTTCATTCATAGGTTCGCATTCAAGGACTGACAGGGAATGTTCAATTTGACCACTATGGACGTAGGGTCAATTATACAATGGATGTATTTGAGCTGAAGAGCACGGGGCCCAGAAAGGTGAGCTACACTCAACCTGTTTTCTTAGTTTGCATTTGACATTCTTAAAGGCTTACAGGTAAAAGGTAGCTGGATATTCTGCATTTGTTTTTAAATGTGAGTACTTACGAATTTTATTTTTTTATAATCTGTGCTGAAATAAATACTTGTGTCATATAATTGATATGTAATGGTGTGCCAAAGCTGAAACAAACTAATTTATATACTGTTTACATCCTTTATCCAAAGTGGAAGCAATATTAAAAAAAAAAAAAAAACTTGGCAAAAAGAACCCCGAAAAACAAAATGTACTCTGCAGGAAAGTACATCTCTCAGGTTAAGAGACCTACTCACCTCCATGCAGTCATTTATGAAATCATCAGAGAGAACAAAGGAAGCTACTTCTAAGGAGTGGGCATACTGAGAACTGACTAAATGTTCTTGAAATAAGCAAGTAAACACATTCCAATGAGCAAAAGAAAGAGAAGGTAGAAGATGAGATTATTAAGATTATCACTTTGCTAGTGGGGGAGAGAAATACCTGAGAAACTCTAATTGAGGGGATAAGGAGGTTGGGTGGGAAGCTGACAGATTCCTGGATTTCGGGAGTTAACTCCGCTGGTGGTAGGATGTAACTAGGCAAATCTGTGGTCTTCCAAACATCCAAAAAGTACTGGATGTAATGGAACCATACGATCCCACCCCGGTAATTGGCATCGACATTTTATACCTAACATATGTAATGTTTAACATTCCTTTTCTGTAGGATTAGCTAGGATGCTCAAGGAAAAACGTGTTCAGTTACCTTATCTAAAAATTCTGTCCAACATTTGGCTGTTTTAAAAAACTTTCTCATATGTGATTTCCTGTTACAGTGTAATAATGATAGCTGTAATTTATGAAATGTCTGCTGTGTCCCAAACACTGGACTTGGTGTAATTTAATCCTCACAACAAACCTGTAATGCGTGTACCATTAGCTCCCTTTTTCCAATGAGAAAATTATAGTCCAACAGGTTATAGTTACTTGTCCAAGGCTCGTAAATGAGAAAACAAGGATTTTAATTCAGGTGTGTCTGTCTCCGGAATGGTTCTGCATCATCATTCCACCCGAGTAGAACCTGCTCTAAAGGAATTTACTTTCTGGTGGGGGTAGAATACAAGTTCCATGACAGTTAAAGAGAAGACACGTGGAGATTCTAAAGAGGAAGAGATTACTTGCAGCTGGGAGAAAACAAATCAAAGAAGGCTTCATGGAGGAGGTAGGCTTTAACGTTAGCCAGGTAGGCGCGGGAGCTGGAAGCTGCGAGAACTTGAAGTGAGTCAGGGAGGAAGGACAGCTGAGGCCACAGATGGGAAGTGTCAGAGGCCCTCATAGTTACGTTTTGCTCCAGTCTGTTATGGGACATGCTTTTGTGTGCGCAAGAAGGAAAGATTTGGAGCTGCCGAGAAAACCATCCCTAGCTTTTCAGCCTCTCAGTGCAGGGCTGCCAGCTAATTAATACAGGGACGCTGCAGCCTACCTGAGCCAGCTCAGGGAGGGCAGGAGACAGGTGCTGGGGAGCAGTGCTGCCCGACGGGCCCCCCTAAAGACACTGCCTGCAGCGGGGCAATGAGACGTGCTCCCAGAAGAAATGCACTGAGTTCCATGTCCACACTGACTTTACCCATTCTGTCCACACACGGCCCGCAACAGGAAAGAAGGAGGCCCATTTGGGGCAAAATCCTTCTGGCCGCTCTGGAGGGGACTCTCCAGGTCCCTCAAAACACGGGCTCACTGGCGGGTGGAGGCAGGACCTTCCTGCCACACACCAGACATTGCAAAATTAGCCACTTAAACAGAAGCTTCCTGAAATGCAAAAGACAGTCCCATACTTCACAAAACAGTAAGTACCAAAAGCAAAATGACTTCTCTATAAAAGAAAGAATAATGTAAAAAGGAGACTGGTGGTAATGAGTGGTAATAGCAAGTGAGTTATTTATGACACTGAATCCTGCCATGGCCTGTTGGTAATGACAATTAAGGTTTTTTAAAGGGAAGCTAAAGAGCGAGTGGGGAGAGTGAGGAATGTCTTCACACTCAGCTGACACCCATCTGAGACTCTTGAAAGAAATATGAAGTGTAAAATTGTGTAAACTCATCCGTCTTTGTTTTTCTGTGGCAGCGATCAACTTGGGCATTCTGTCAGGAATATTAAACTTAAAAATGAGCTACCACGAGAAACACGCTGCTGATGAAACTCAGCAATATGTCTGGAAAGTGAGCAATCGCTCTTGCCAGCAAGGGAGTTGTCTCTGAAAATAGATCAGAGAGTCTGCCTGTCAGATCGTCTGACTGCTGTAGCAGGAGCCCTGATGCAGGGACTCGTTCTAGCTCTTTCCGAAGTCCTGGCTCCTAAGTGGGGTGGAGTCTTCCCAGCCCAGTGACCCCCTAGGGAATGCCCCAGAACCGGATGCGTGTGCTTTCAGGAACTCTCAATTGTAAAAATTTTCTGTATTGAGAGCAGGTGATAGGCCAAACACAGACATGGAAAATTGATGTGCATTTTTATATGTAATCCTCACAACAACCTGAAAGTGAGATATATCTTTTCTCATTTTAAAGAAGAGGAAAAAGTAAGACTCAGAGACACCGAGGAACCTGCCCAGGGATGTTCAGCTCAAAAGACATGGAGGGGGGGTGGAAACCAGGGCTCACCTAGCTCCAGAGCTCACTGTCTTGATTGCTATGAAATACCATCAGACCCGGAGCCCATAAGAGTTCTTTTTAGGGCTGGTATGGGAATTAAGCCATATTGGGGGGGCGGGGTGCAGGTCTGGTCCTATCAGCCCTCCAAGGAACAAGCTTTGAGTAGAACAGGGGCTCCTCCTGAACCCAATCCCTACATTGCAGGCAAGGGCCACTGTAAACACAGAGATATCTACTCACAGTGTGGTGGTATTTACGCAGAATTCACCTTTAGGAGTCCAAAGAAGACAAATATGTTCCTGACATCCCTGCCAGTTGAGTGATTTAAACACTTCCATATTTTTGCTCCAGCATTACAAAAGTATCCTTCACCCAGTTTCTGTCTCTAGGAAAAATGCCTACTTCCCTGTCTGATTAAATAGACCAGGCATGCAAAGAGTTCTTAGTACATTGTAAAATGTTGTGAAGAACTAGAGAGAGAAACCCCATCTCACGTGAGGTGTTCTAGTCCAAACTTTAGGATTCCTTTCTTTGGGAAGTGACTCTCTGATTGACACCCTTCCCAGTGTGTCTATGGCCCAGTGAGATCTGGCATGAATGGTCCCATACCCCAACCACATTTTTTTCACAGAATTTCAAGTAAATATAAGGCAAACAGATACAGTTAGGTAAAATTTTGCTCTTTAATTTGTCAACACTTCTAAATCATTTATCTTTTAAGGGTAGATAGTCATGAAGCTGTTTTAAATGCAAAATGTCAAGGTCTTGCCAACATCTGAGGACTTTTCAGAATGTCCCAAATCTGTGGTTTTTCTGTTGTGGGAACTCATTAAAAAAGAAAAATGCCTTTCCCAGGGAATGGGCTGCTGAGACCTGGAGGGCGGCTGCCTCATAACCAAATACTAAGCTGTAAAACCTATTTTCATGTCATATAAACCATCATGAGGAAAGGAGAATTAACAGGAGGCAACTGACATGTTTTGTTTTGTTTTTATTTTGTAAGTACATGTAGGAATTGAGGCTGCATGAGGATGTATGTACGTCTCAAAGGCATACTTGTTTTTAAATTTACTTTTTCACTGAGTTATTAAATAAATGTCAGCTACCAATAGATTCATATGGACACTTGAAAACTATTGCTGAACTGATAGATGTTCGTAATTTCAAATCAAACTAACAACTACAGCAAACCATATTAATGAAAATTCATTTCCTCCATCTATTCTGTGACTATATATGCAACATTTGTGAATAACAGTACCTCTTGCTGACACGTTAATGCTTACTTTATTTCAATACGTTCACAAATACTAACACAACAGTCAAGAAAGTTGGAGGAAGCAGGAGAGACTTCCAAAAACATATTAGAACCAACAGTGAATACAGACCAGTAAGCACTTACATATATTTTATCGGAGACAGGAGTTTTATCAACTATATCCAGAAATTCAAGAAAGAAGTTTGGCACGCATTCAGTGGACACGCATCTGGGGAGGTCGTGGAGGTTGGCAGCCGAGTGTGTGGACTTGGTGTCTTACAGAACTGTTTTGAATTCCGGCCCCTCTGGAGTGTGACCCCCTCGTGCGGTGTATGTAACCTGCTAGGTCCTCATCTCCAAAGTGTGGGCCCCTGTTACACCTACCTCTACATTTGCTGTGTGTATAAACTTTGAGATGCATATTTAGATGCTCTGCCCCAGAGCAAGCAGTCAAGTGGTAGCCATTCCTAGTACTTAGTAGTCGGCATGATACAAAGAACCCTAAATTTCCTTTAGGACCCCATTAGAGTTTACTGCTTTGTAAAGTACTTAACTAAGTACTTAATATATTTTATGGAAAGGACTTTGTTTCACCTCTAAGTGAGAAAGTAATGTAAGGATTTAAAAATAAAAAAATACAAATTTAAGTGTAATCTTCACAAGTGAAAATATTGTTCATTAATATTAACCTCGGATGTATTTAGCATTTTAGAACTGGTCAGATTTTTACCCAGTGGCTACGTTATCTAAAACCCCAAACTATTTCTGTATTGCCTTATATATGCAAATCTTTTTGGTTAAAAATATCCTATACATATTCCCTTTACAGTAAAACCTGTTAACATCATTGATAAAATCATGTAAATTAATTTTAGAGGGTACCAGTCAATCCCACTAGAAGAGAGGATCAACATAAAATGGTATTCCATCTGTATCCATATTCTTTTTTGAACGTCTCCTTCCCTGATGTCTTGGCTTCTCCAAGACTGTAAATTATGAAGTTGCCAAATGTACAAACAGGCAGTATCATTAACGTCAGAAAAACTGGCTCATCTTCAATTAAAAAAAATTCCAAAACCTCCTTTTTGTCTCCTTTTTATATTTGTTTGCTTACTTATTAATACCCCTCATGGTTCCAAAAATAACTAGAGAGAACTGTTCTAAGATGTGTTTTCAAGAATTTTCTCTGTTTGGCAGGTTGGTTACTGGAATGATATGGATAAATTGGTCTTGATTCAAGATGTACCCACTCTTGGCAATGACACGGCAGCTATTGAGAACAGAACAGTGGTTGTAACCACAATTATGGTAAGTTTTGGTCTATGCTTTATGCTATTTCGTCTTGTCCACAGGCAACTTTAATCCCCCAACTATGGTGAACGGGGTAAAAGCTGCATTGTAGCTGGGGTGGTATGCATGTTCTGATCCACAAAAGTCTGTTGAGGCTTTGAATAGGTTTGCCCCGAGCTTTGAATACATTCAGTACTTTTATTTGTATTATCTTTCGTTGCAATGTTGTTCTTGGAAAGATGCTCACGTGTTAAAAATGGAAACTGTCACACTCTAGTTAAAATGGATGAAATGCTAACATTCCAAAGGACAAAAGAATGAACATGAAGAATCAGCAACCTGTCACATAAAAACATCTGGTAGTAAACACTCTATTATTGTTGTTACCATGTTTTTTATGACATCAATGTAATAATAGTTAATAGTGTCAAAACTGATCACTTTCAAGTAGTTTAATCATTGGATAATGATTTGCATTGTCTGTTTATAATAGTGGGGATATGAATGTAAAGATTTTAATGAACATGTTTTATACAACTAAATGCTTTAGAAATAAATTTTGGTCTCTATTTTTAATGTGAAAAGGGTGTTGTGCACCGATTATTTTTCTCAGTGACCAATGACAAATACACAATACAATTTATTGGACTTCTCCTAAGACTTAAGGAAAGTATGATTGCTCCATCCTGTCATATCATAAAGTGAAAACTAAATTTTAAGGAAGTGTTTTCAAAGAGATCCTCAAGAAATTACCTTTTCAATCATAGAATATTACTGAAGTCAACCACGCCCTTTCGAGTCCATGCTGGTCAAAGGAGATCAATAATCGGTACCTATAGCTTCAGCTCCCTGTCTCGTTAGGCAGAACACGTTTTTAATTATTTATGAAGCCCTTACTCTAAATAAAGTGGGAGTACTTTATGTCAGTTTCTAGCTTATGTAATTGTGGTTTTTAGTAATGTCAAGTTATTTCCAAAAATTTGGGCACCGAGGTCAAAGCATGAAAATGCCAGAGAGAAGCGTTCATATGTTACCATGAGTGTTCTCTGTGTCACATCCCCAGCTAGCAATGTCATGTTACCCCGCCAAGCCTTGATGGGAAGTTGATGATTTTAGAATGCAACCCAGCCAACAGCAGTTTTTGTGTAAGAGTGCAAAATGCACTCCTTCTAGCTTAATTTTGTAATAGTTGCATGAGACTTTTGAAAAGCAGTATATATATATGTGTGTGTGTATATATATATATATATATTTCTTTTCCTAAAAAGACACAATAATGGAAAGTCATACTTCAGTACAGTCCTCCTCTTTTCAGCCTCTGATGAAGAATCCTATTTTAAGAAATTGATCAAGAAAGAAATGAGTTCCACGCTGTTCGACCATTCCTAACTAAGGCTCAAGTCTTGTTCTCCTGTGTAGTAAATTTAAGCTAATTTTTCATGTGGGATTCTTCTTGGATGACCAACTCTGGACTACCAGAAAAAAAAATTTTTTTTAAGTTCTGTGACTTTTCTGAGATACTAGAACAAAAGAAGAATTAATCCTCATCTTAAGAAAATATATAGATGTTGAAAGAGAATCACTTAGCAATTCTGACATAGCAGTTCCCCTATCCTGAAATGAGGTCATTGTACATAAAGGTGGAATTATATCACTCCTAATTCCAAGTGAAGGTTTTCTAAAAGTAAATATCTATGAATTTGTGTGCTTGATTCTGAATATACACAATTGTTTTCTTTAAAGGTGTTTTGAAATTTTGCCTGTTCTATGTGAAGTAAAGTGTCTGAATGTGCATTATAGGTATAATGTAGAGAATCTCCTTTCCATCCCTATTATTAAAGGGGCTGGAGATATAATTCTTAAAACCAAAATATTGAATCAGTTTGCAAGCATGGCTCGTTTTCAGAAAGCATGCTACCAAAAAATCAGTTAAAATGATTGAGAAATTCAATTGTTTCCTTTATACATAAAGAATATTCTGTAAAGCTGTTGTTTGACAGTGGTATCATCAATATTTTTGCTATCAAAATAGTGCAATACTAGTATTTGTCTTTTGTATAAAAATGTAATCTTTGTAAAATAATACCTCTTTGGGCTTTGCAATTGCATAATCATTCAGTGATTAAAAAAAGAATCCTAGAATCCTTTCCCTAAACACGTTCCTTGTATTTGCTTTTGTTGAGAATGGTCATCCGGGACCTATGACAGTTCCACCATCTCATTCATGTTGAAAGAAATATGATTCCTTGTAGACAAATGAGATATTGGCACCTGCGTGTAATAATCTCCCAAATTCAACTGAAAACTCCCAACACAGATGGAGCTGGTTAGACCCCCTAATATGTGCAAGACAGCTATCTAGACACAGAAGGTTGAGAGTGTTGCTGTCCTGGAAATCATTCACTTTGATCAAAACTGATATGGCCTTGCTGTTCTTCCCATTTGTCTTTCCTTGGTGTATGTTGTTATTTATATGTTGATACATTGTAATGATATATGCTGTTGTTAAATAAAATTGATTGAGAAATTCATTTATTCATCCATAAATATTTATTAAGCGTCTGCTGTGTGCTGGGCACCACTGTAAGCCCAGGGGTATGCTAGAGAACAAGGCCGACAGCAGTCCTGCGCTCAAGTGAGTTTATATTCCAGGGAAAGAGCAGACAACAAACAATAGATAATATGGACTAGCTATCATGCTTAAATAAAAAGTGGCGCCAGCTTTCTGTAGTGTTGAAATTTATGTTTTTCTTGTAACAGTATTGTCTACCTATGACGTGATCGTTGTTTTAATGGCTCATTATTCCACCCGAATACAGTCATGCTGCGTGTAACTTGGCTAAATCTCAGTGAAAAGTAAAATTGGCAGCATCATCCCATGAGGATCGTGACTACAAGGTTGAAAGGTCTCAAGTTTTGAGTTCAGATGCTATTTTCTGTCTTTAAGACGTAGTGACTAGAAATTTGATAAAGCCTGTAATTGTATAGGAGACTGTGAGTCATACTAACGTTCTGCGATCTCGGTAATAACTTCTGTCGGCAGCGGGAGGCAGCCAGATCTGTGCCGTGCGTTTGCATTCCCACAGCAGTTGAGGAGAAGGCAGCGGGCAGTGGGGGACGTGTAATCTCACTCTGGCTGCCGAACTCTCTGGAAAAGCAGCGATAAAGCAGTACTTCATCCAAGCCCATTTTCCCCCAAATGTTCAGGGCTGAAGCTAAACGGTGCTTGTGATGCATTCCTCAGCTAAGAAGCTATTTCTTACCATCTTGTGAACGTAACAATCCTTTAGGAAGATTTTCCATAAATCCCCGTTTATTCACTGCATAATTATGTTACAAACCTGAAAGCAGTTTTACTTACCACACTCGATCTTTCCAGAGGTTACTTTTTTTAGACCTTTTCATTAGATGTTTGATATTTTATCTTCTCTATGTAGAATGTTATAGGTGCACTCCACATATATACATGTGCATATACAATACACATGTATATTTTTATATCATATATACATATGTACATGTATATACAAAAATAGATACACTTATTTTCTTCCTTGCACTGAGTATTTCCCCCATACATACACCTGCCTCCAAAGGGCTTAGCACTCAACTAGTTTTGAAATACCTTATTTTGAATAAATTTAAAACTGTGCAGCCATCCAATTTGCTCACTTTTTCTCTGAATTGAATAATAACATGTCAGTTTCTCCTTTTAAGAATTTTACCCATGGGATAAATTGTCTACATCCAGTAAGATTCTTTGGAGAAAAGCAAATATCCACACAGCAAATAACTTTGGTTGATACTACTGATTTTATTATTTTAACTCTTTGCGATAGTAATTTTAATGATTATATTTTTATGTTTAGAAAACCTTAAAGCCTTTCTAAAAAGTATCTGTTTCAACAGCTTTGAATACAAATAATCCAAAAAATTTTTTCTCAGCAGGAAAATACTTTATTGATTGGAAATCATCTTAATTCATTTACACAAACGTTTCCTTAAGCCCTAATGTAGCAGGTTTAGACAGAGATTGATTTCTTTCCTAAAATAGCAGAGCAGATGTAGAACACTACCCATTATGGAAATTTTAGTAATAAACTCATAATCACTAAGAAGTAATGCGTTTAAAATAACTTCTGAGGAGTTACTGTTCTGCAGAGCACGGTAGTTGATGATAAAGATGGTAGGTTAGACTCTTAAGGCAGAAGTAAGAGGTTATATTCCACTTCTCTGATCATTCCATTTTTATTCACAGTTGAACACCTGAACTCCATAAGGGCTCCTTATCAAAGATGCCCCACAAATCCTCCTTAACGATTGGCTAGGACTCATTTTCTATTATATTGAAAAGATTTGGTATTTTCTTCACCCATAGTAGCCCCAAACACTTGTATTAAATCCTCCCCAAATATGCAGGTCAGAAAGGCTACTTGGGGGCAAAATTGTCAGGCTGGGTTGGTGCAAAGGAGGAGGTTGGGAGAGCATTGAGGATCTGCTACTCATGTAGGTTTAAAATGAAAGAAAAGCAAAATGAGACACAACTTAAAGAAAGTGAGGAGCGCTGAGCAACCAGGAGAGCTTTTGTTCAAGAAAAGCCTGGTCTTTCTGTTGGCCTGTCCTCCCACCTCCCTGAGTATGACCATCTTACTTCTCTTATGCTGCATGCCCCACTCATCTGAATCTCAGTAATTGTACATGCCCCTGGTTGTGCAAACAGTCTAGCTCAATTTCTAATCAACATCTTCAGTAAGCTGAAAGTTTCCTAGTCTTTGTTGGTCTCTTTGGCAGGAAAGCAAAGATCCTGATGGGCCCGTGCTGTCCAAAAAAGGAATTAAAAAAAGGGAAAGAAAACACTAGATACATTTTTTATTTAGATTTACATATGTGTATTTCAGAAGAGATGGCCTAGCACTTAATAATTACTTCCTTTTTGAAGACCTGAATCAGAAGTTCTAATTACTTCACCATGATATTCCTATTTAGGGAGCACTGGTGCACCAGGAAATCTTTATATTCATTGAGTGTCTTATAGGTACCAGACAATATGAGGAGATATGGAAAGGTTTTATCTACACTGTGTACCCACAATTTCATAGAAAGCATTTCATTTACTCATAATACAGAAATTCATGTCCTTAAACTTGTCCCCTCTCTAGTTAAATCATACAAAATATCGAAGTGTTGCATGCCATTTTGACAAATGCCATGATAGCTTCAACAATTTCCAGATATTTCAAAATACAGATTCAGTTCCCACACCTGCTACTTCTGTGAAATTGAACAATTTGCTTGCCCTCTCTGAGACTTAAATTTTCCCCCTGCCAAATGGGAAGTGCCTACCTCAAAATATCAGTGTGAAAAGTAAATGAAAGGCACAGTTAAAGAACTTAGCATTATTTCTGATCCAGAGCATGCACTAAGTAGAGCTATTCTTATTTTTCACTACTGTATTTTCTAATTGTCCCCCCCACTCTTACTCCTTTATCCTTATAATTAAGAATTATAATCTTAATCACAAGAGGACAGGAGGCATATTTTATTTATTTTTGTACCCCCTAGCTCCCAGCAAACTGCCTGGCACACTGTGGGTGCTTAATAAATGTTTGAGTACACAATGTAAGTGCAGCTTTTAATAAAGCAAATTATTCACTATATAATGTAGAGGGAATTTAGCAGATGATATGGGATTTCTCGCTAGAGAAATGTGCACACAAGCTAATACTGTCATATATGTATTTGAGGACTGAAATTCTTACATGTTCAAGTATTCCGGACCCTTTAGAATTGCGTATGAGCCATAGATGTACAACTTTTGAAAACTCTTAAGTTTGTTATACTGAAAATTGTAAGTGGTAACTATACAGCCATTTCAATTGCAATTTTAAGCATTTTACAAATGTGTGAATCTTGCTTTTCTCTACATGTACTTCCACATTTTAATTAGCTGTCACAAGGAAAAGAGAATGAAAGGATTAGCTCATTTTGACTACTAATATTTTATATCTTAGAAATTAACACTGCTTTGCAATAACTCACCACATTTATAATTTTCAAAACCCTTTATATTTGGAGAATGTTTTCTGTAAGCTACTAAATAATGGTCATCTATCTAAAGAAGAGACACTTAGTTGCTTAACTTTATAGGTGGAGAAGCTTTATTTATCCAAGTCCGGTGTTAAAATATGCATCAGTTTCAAAGACATGAGAGAGTTCTGGGTCCTTTGACTATGTCAGCCTAAGGCAGGATTATTCAAGGACCAACCCTAGACAGTTGCCCACAGTAGAGTTATTTAGGACATCTCAATGAGAAAGTTATCTATCATGTAATTTACATTTTTATTAAGTTTTTTAAAGTAGTTTCTACATTTACAAAGTACTTAAAATCAGAAGTACTGTACAGTGCTCCGTTATGCAAAGTAGAATACTGTCTAATCCAGATTTTCAAGAGCAAGTTCAACTTCCCCAAGTACACATGTGCTGGGGGAGAGGAAGAATTTCCTGTGAAAATTACTCAGTGGATGTTATGTTACAATGTTATAAAATATAAACCCATGATCTCAGTGACGTTGTGGCCAAAGGTGGTCGTTCCTTGTCTGCAAACCTGAGGTGTGACCAGCAGGTCTATCTTGGATGTTTACCAGACCTATCTTTTGGTGGCATTAGGCTCCATTTATAAAATCAGGTGCTTGTTTGCTAATGTGTGTCTCTAGTTCACGGCCTTTAAATGGTAGGGGTTAGGGGTGTGTGTGTGTGTGTGTGTGTGTGTGTGTGTGTGTGTGTTTAACTGGAAACTGTCTAGTTATTATTAGCCACCAGTAAGTCTTTTCATTTTATAAGGATTTTCACAATAATTCTTCATCCTATCATCTGTCTTACTTGCTTCAAAAACTAAATGGGAATATCACTTGAAGTGTGTTATTGTCACAATTGGGGGGGATTATTAGCTTTCATTGGAGACATATTTTCTAATAGAATAAAACTTCATGGACCACAACCCTCATTAAAGCCAAAAATACTGGATAGTTTTAGGAAAGCCAATTTAATGCAAATAAGTATATAAGATGTTTTTAATTATTAATTCATTTCGTCACTGAACTTGCTAGTGTCTGCTCTGAGAAAGGCATCCGGCGAAATGCTAGAGAGCAGAGGAAAATCATCTAGCTCCTTTCCTAAAGGAGATTGCAGTTGAACGTGGCTAAACAAGATGCAGAATATGGAGACCTGTAACCTTGAATAAGTACTATATAGTCTTTAACTTCGTGAGCTATTTTAGAAATACTGATTTCATTGCCAAAGGTGATAGGCTTATACTTCCCTAGACAGTTACTAATGCATACTCTTCATGCCACAGTCACGATGCTCCGTATGTAACCGTCACTGGGTAGAAAACTCTTTTAAAGGTTTCACTTTTCGTACCCAATATAAAGCAACTGAATATACTCCTTAGCATATTTCTATATTCATCTGTTTTATTATTGTTTTCTAACCGCACAAAATCAGTGTGTATACTAATATTAAATATAATCTTCGTGACAAATTCTGCAGCTGAAAAGTTACATAAAGACTTTTGAATGTTTTATAATTTCTCCTTTACAGTTCTACTTCTCTCATTATAGGAATCCCCATATGTTATGTACAAGAAAAATCACGAAATGTTTGAAGGAAATGACAAGTATGAAGGATACTGTGTAGATTTGGCATCTGAAATTGCAAAACATATTGGTATCAAGTATAAAATTGCCATTGTCCCTGATGGAAAGTACGGAGCAAGGGATGCAGACACAAAAATCTGGAATGGGATGGTAGGCGAACTTGTTTATGGGGTAAGCAAATCAATTTATTGAAGAATTTACTTACATAAACCTGAAACTTTTTATCACCTGGGCACATACCAGTTTCTCAAGACCTGTTACTGTTTATAAATTTGCAGTGACATTGAAAGAGGCATATACGACGTTCACATGTTTCTCTAGTTCATTATGGTGCAATTCCCAAATAATGAGAGAAGCTAATACCTCAGAACTTTCAAAGTCAGGAAGGATAAAAATTTGGAATATGATGTCCTATTTAAAAAAAGGTGACTTCAGTTTCTGTGATGATTATTCTCTTAAGCCTGGTGCTGCTATACCATAGCCATGTTGTTTTTAAGAACTGCAAACCAAATCTATCATATTACTTGATCATTGAAGGAGCAGATTTCCTCCAACAGCATAAAGTTGGACCTAATTTTAACTAGTTATTTATGTCCCTGTTGCTTGTACTTACTGATAAATATCTTTTACATAATTGGTAAAGTAATCATTAAACTACTTTAGCATCTATAAAATATTCAGCAATAATATGTGATTCCTACAATTCTGCTGAACACAGTAAATTTAAACTTTATGCAATGCCATTATTTTTTGAGACCTAGCCAAACGCAAAAGCTAGAATGTATTCCACAGCAGGCCTCACGTAAATGCACATCAAGCCCTTCGCTTTACCAGATATTGAGTATACACATTTATAGCCAAGGGCAAATTCAGTGTAGACATTCCTGCCTGGATGAGAACAAGATCAGTTTCATCAGGAATATCCCTGCAAAGTGTCAAAATGAAACCAGCAGTTAGCAAACGCTGGTGATGCCTGATATTTCCAAAGTCCAGAAACCAGACCTAGAGCTCACAGTGAGAAGTCACACACACAAAACATATTCTGAAATCTCCTGTAAGCCAGTTCATATTTCACAGACTTCACCTTCAAGCAACTCTGGTTCATCCTCACAAGACCCCTTTGAAATAATTACATGAGAGTCCTCCTTCCCTAGAAGAGAATAAAGATGGAATGATCAAGAGCATAAATGAAGTCTGGAGAGGGGCTCCCTTTCCAAGCCTGAACTACAATTCGATAGTTTCCTGATTCTGTACCCTGCGTTTCAGACCCCAAAGCCACAGACGTTCTCCAACAAGTCTGATAGAGTAGCTATAACCTCAGCAGAAGAGGAAATTGGCATTAAAGAGCAGTCATTTAGTTTTATATCCATGTAAAAAGAACTGCTGACTAGTCCGTTGCCCTAATTGAAGAAAAAAAAATGTGCAGTTTTAAAAAATCAAGAAGTGTTTTATCGCAGGGCTCAACAGTTTGATAGTAAGCTTTTAAGTTCCAAAGAAAAAGGATTCCTAAACCATGTGTTCCTTGGTAATATTTTAAACTTTGGGTAATACTTTTAATTTTTGAGACAGTAAGTAGATTTTTTTAAAGATTTTATTTATTTATTTGACAGGGAGAGAGAGAGAGCACAAGCAGGGGGAGCGGCAGACAGAGAAGTAGAAGCAGACCCTCCGCTGAGCAGGGAGCCCGATGCGGGACTTGATCCCAGGACGCTGGGATCATGACCTGAGCTGAAGGCAGACGCTTCACCGACTGAGCCACCCAGGCGCCCCGACTATTAGTAGATTTTAAGTGTAAACATTATTCAACTTGTTAGAACTGTAGTAATTCACTTCCTACAGAAAACACTATTGGGTATTTCATCTCAAAAAAATCCTGCTTGGATTACCAGTTAGTCATGGATGGTGTAACTAACCCGAGTAACTTTCTACAACATTTGTTACATGTCTCTCCTCCAGAATCCCTACCCACTGGGCAGCCCAGCCTCGCCCCTTTGCAAGGGCTCTAGCCACATTGTTCAAGAAACAGAAACAAGTGATATTAAGAGAGTAGGGTAGTCAACCAAGAGCTACAACCATAACACATGTCACAGTAACACAGAGTCCCAAGGTCAGGCAGTTCTCAGAGAGAAAAGCTAACAAGTGCTAATGAATACTCACCGTATTCAATCCTCAGTTCATCTGCAAAGGGTTAAATTCTCTCATCTCTGTCACTTGACTTTTTCCCAAAAGGAATCTTTTTCAGTGTCTCTTATCCTTTCTGCAGATTTGGTACTTTTCATCCTGGTGTCTGCAAAGTCTGCATTTCTTAATTTTTTTTACTTTCTTCCTGCTAATCCATAGAACAAATGCCCAATGTCCAGGGCCCAAGGGGAAGCTCCATCCATTCTCTCCTATCCAACAAAGCCCATTAGACAGTAAAATGATTCACTTAGAACCCATTATTACTACTACTACTACTATTACTACTATGTTATTCTTTACAAACTTTGTTACTGGCATTGTTCAGAGTAAGTGTTCCAGAACACACTCACGCGTGGCCTCAGCACGCCAGCAGGTGGTGGCCCCAGGGTGCAGGACGACCCCCGCCGCTCAGGCCCTTCCCTCCCGTGGTCCCCGTGCATCACACCAAGTCCTCTCTGCCATGTTCTGTGCGCCTTCTGCTGGGCCCTGCGTACTAGTGTGCGTGGATTTTAACCCACAGGAGTATTTCTCCAAGCACCTTCCGGGGCCTGCCAGCACCAGAATTCCCTGTGGTAAGCGTTACCATATGTCCAGGAGTCTCGCTCCAGCCCTCAAGAACCCAAATGTGAGGCAGCTCTTGCGGGACATACTTGACATGCCGCATTTTGGGAATCGCTGAGAGGTCGTGGAACGAGGCACAGGATGTAGCCTCTCTGGTCTTCACAGAGAAAGCCCAGGTTTATCTTTTCTGTTCACTAGCCTCTTTGAAAACACAGCTTCCAGGGCGCCTGGGTGGCTCAGATGGTTAAGCGTCTGCCTTCGGCTCAGGTCATGATCCCGGGGTCCTGGGATCGAGTCCCGCATCGGGCTCCCTGCTGCTTGGGAGCCTGCTTCTCCCTCTGCCTCTCTCTCTCTCTCTCTGTCTCTCATGAATAAATAAATAAAATCTTAAAAAAAAAAAAAAGAAAAAGAAAACACAGCTTCCAGATTTCAAAAGTGTCCTCGTCAACCTTCGTGTCACCCCCCGACGCGGTGTTTGCCTTCCCTCGCTCCTTGTTTCCTATGCTAGAGGCTCCTTGGTTTCTCTCCATGTTGCTTTCATCTCTTAATGGTAACTTGTGTCCATACAACATTCCCTAAGAACACTACACCGAACCGCTTAGTATGCAGAAGGTGGCATTTCGCATCAGTGACAGGATGCGTTACTCATTTATTCCTGTTGCAACGGCAGAACAACCACTTGGAAAATTAACCACTTTGTAGCACATCATCACGTACGATACCAAGTAAAGCTTAAAGGAATTATAGGTACAAGAAGAAAACATGTATGATTAAGACTGATCATATGATATGAGAAGAATTTTTCTAAGCATGAGACCAAAGGCTGAAAACGCCAAAAAGCCATATGGCTACAATAAAATTGAATACATATATATTGCAACAAAGTACCGTGAACTAAATTATGTAAACAAAACCATTACTGAACAGGGAGAATATTTGCAACATATACAGAAAATAAAAGTTAATTTTTTGAATAGATTTAAAAGCACTTACAAATTAGTAAGTAAAAGGTGAATACACCATATAGAAAATAGGGGCAGAGTATGACAGGTTGTGACACTGAAAAATAAAAAAAAGGAAAAGTGGCTATTTGTTTTATAAAATAAATGTTTTATAAAAATAAATTCAAATTAATACAAAGAGATTGAACTTGCCATGGAGCGGATTGGCAAAGATGAATGAGAATAATGATACACATGGGCAGGCCAGCATTCCTAGCGGTTCCTAGTGGATTCCTAGCAGGAGGTGCTTTCACATGGTGCTGCTGGCGGTGGAAATTTGCATGATCTTCCCAGAGAAAAGTTGCACAAAACGCATCATGGCCGTTAACAAGGATTCTTCCCATGTAGACCAGCAATCCCAGTTCTAGAAATTCATCTTAAATAATTAAGGGATGTACCAGGGCATGTCTTCAAAGATGTTCAGATCATCAAAGTTTGAAATTGTGTAAACCTGGAAACAGTATAAACATCTCCTAAAATAATAAGTAGATTGAGCAAATTTTTATATTTTCCCATGATAAAATACTTGCAAACATTAATTTTTAATATATATGATAAAATTAAAAGGAGTTCATCATATGCTTCTCAGTAGAGGAATTACAAACTGTAGTGTTTCATATTATCCCATTTTAAAATAAGAAAAATTTGATTCCTCAAACCATGTCTAGCAGGGCATATATGAAGAAAGAGCAAGAGTAGGTGAAGGGAATGGAGGTAACTTTCCTTAACTTTTTAATTCTGTTTTTACACAGTAATTTTTCTATAGTTAGTTCATATGTCACTTGTGTAATGAAAATTATGCAAATAATAAAATGGCAAAAATAATAACCTCCCAGCGGTGAGTCTGACTTTCATAAGTGTGGGCATTTAGGAGGCAAGCTAAGTTCATTCCCACTTGAGGGCCCTTAGAGTTAACAGTCAGCCACCCAGTGGGCAGCATCATGGCCGGGGTACCCTCCCCCGTCAGCCCACCACACAACCTGGGATCAGGCTGCTGGCTGGCATGTGAGCCAGTGACCTGGGGGTCCATAGGGTGCATGTGAGGGTGTCAGCCTCTGCAAGAGCACGCGTGCCTGGCCATGTTTCAGATTCCACTTTAATGCCACATATTTTCCTTTCAAAATGAACAATCAAATAACCTTTTTGCACCTACAGATCATGTAACAGTTTACAGTGTTTTCATGACACTTTATTTCACTCAGTTTTAGAGATGGCAGGATTGATGGAAGACACACGAGCCCCGATCACAGAAGGGCCATGATGTGTACATCTGAGTCTCAGCTCTGTCATCTAGAAAACAGTGATAAACAGGATTATCATAGTGTTAAATGAGAGGCTGTTTAAAATACTTAGTTCAGCGTCAGATACGTAATCCCTCAGTAAATGCTCACTGGGATTTTATTAAGTTTTCTGTAAGAGAGAATCACAGTAATGCAATGAGGCAAACAGGAAATTGTCCTCATTGGAGAGACATGGAAAGTGGGCTCGGAAAAATAGCTCAGAGTCACAGAACAAAAAAGGAAGCTGGTGTCTTACGTTTGATCATAATAGCTGAGAATTGAATCCACTGTTTTCTGAAAGCTGTGTTAGAAATTCAGAGTAGAAAGTCAAAGTATGTGAATAGGAAGAAATAAATGCCAATTTCCAGATTTTTGTGTGTGCACTGGATTGGAAAATGTCATCAAACAGCGGGTGTCCTCCGTCCTACAAACACAGACTGTAGAATAGGTTTTCTTACAACTGGAAAGGAATAAAAAAGGACTGTTTGAAATTTGCATTCATAATATTAAGGGACTGCCAACTAATGAGTCAGTGGCACCATTCCAAATGAAACAGCTGCAACATACCAGCAATTCCAGCCAAGAGATTCCGAAATCCAGCCATATGGGGAGGCCATTAAGGCTCCTCCTCTGGCCCAGCCCACGTCCTTAAAGACTAATACAGTTGTCTGAGTCCAAGTTATTTTTGCTTACATCCACTCTCCCTGTTTCTCTTTCTCTCCTCCAATCGCTAGCACCAATAAAAATATTTCGTGCCGTGTACGTGGTCTGTTCTCTTAGGAAGACAGTCTACTGTTCACCTTTGCATTTAACACTGTTCTTACTCAATTGTTGGCTTTCCCCTCGAAATATAGAGTGAATGCGTAACTCATTAGGTTTGAGTGGACCGGTCCAGGGCCTGTCGCTTCACAAAATGCATTAACCTGTGTGTTTTTGGTGTCTTTTCTCTTACAGAAGGCAGAGATTGCTATCGCCCCTCTGACAATCACTTTGGTCCGGGAGGAGGTCATTGACTTCTCTAAGCCCTTCATGAGTTTGGGCATATCTATCATGATCAAAAAGCCTCAGAAATCTAAACCAGGAGTGTTTTCCTTCTTGGACCCTCTGGCCTATGAGATTTGGATGTGCATAGTCTTTGCCTACATCGGCGTCAGCGTGGTGTTATTCCTAGTTAGCAGGTTTAGTCCGTATGAGTGGCACACAGAAGAGCCAGAAGATGGGAAGGAAGGACCCAGCGACCAGCCTCCCAATGAGTTTGGCATCTTTAACAGCCTCTGGTTTTCCCTGGGTGCCTTTATGCAGCAAGGATGTGACATTTCACCCAGGTTAGTTGGAAAACTCTTTGCTTCTTCACCGACTGCCCCGTCATTCTCGGTGTTGTGCACAACATCTCTCTACACGTTCTTTTCCCAGAGGCAGAGCATTACTTTGAAACAAAGGGGGGGAAAAAAACAAACGTGCAATTCCCAAATTAATCTGAGTACCTTCATAGCCAGTTTTTCCAAGTTAGCACCAAATGTGGACACATCACAAAGATAAACTTTCCCAGCGGAAAAGTAACGTATGCAACCGCTCAGAACTTTCAGAAATCACGTAGTGTTAATATCTCTTTCAGTGGTCTGACAGATGGAAATGAAAATCTAAATTGTCAGATTAAGAATTCGTTTTCATTTTGTCTCCTCTTCAAAATCGAAAGTTTTTGTTACTGTTGCTGTTGTTCATTTTTTAAGAATTAATTTTGCCCTCCATTTATATCCCATGTACCTTATGGGAGATTTCTGCCATAGACTTACCTAACACCTGAGTCGGTGTAGCAGGTACGAGATATACATTGCTCTGTGTAACAAAACATAAGTAAGCTGTGGGCCAACTCAGCAACATCAATACTGTATTAGTTTAATAGATGTGTTTTTCAATATCTGTGGAGTCATGGCTCACTTCCTTTGGATACCACTAAGACATTTTTCAGTTATGTTTGCCAAAAATGCAGCCAATCTCCTGTTGCAAGAAAAAAACCAACTTTCTCCCACAGGAAAAATAACTACAAGTAGGAGAAGCTATGAACTGAATGAACTTAAATATATGACTTACATTAGCATCGCAAATATACAGATTTTTTTTTAAAGAAATGTATGCTTTCTCAAAAGGAGACATTTTAGGCACAATGCACTCTGTTCCTTAAGATCTAGGAAATCTATAAATATGTTTAAATTCCAATAACATATAAACCTGAGTCAGTAACTCTAAATTAATGAAATGAAAAGAAAGCCAAGCAAGTCGTGGAATGGTTTTGAAAACCAGGATTAAGCAAATGCTAAGTTAAAACCAACAGGTGCTACTTATATAATAATGGTTAAGAAGGGAGAATTTGAAAGTTAGAAATGTCATGGAAAATATGAATTTTTTTCTTACATTAAAAAAAATGTTTAAAAATAATTTGTCCCAGGAATTTTAAAGTTTGATGGTCCCAGGGAGTGAGCTCAATTATGAAAATTACCTGGATTTTTTTATTCATTCCATCCTCACTTTTCCTCCACATCCACATCACCCACACATCCCTGATACCAGGGAAAGGATGGGGAGAGAACTTTTTCCTTCAGAGGTTTAGCATCCGTTTTTAATGGTGTCACACTGTGCATCGACAAGTCCCGTGCTTTGGTCTCGTGCTGGCAATGGCAGAGAGAACATATTTATGGCAGTGTGTAAAGCTGCATTTGGAGATAGGTCATCCTCCGCTCAGATCAGAAATGAAATATCAAGCAGACAAAACGCTCCCCAGCTGTGGTCGCCTTGAGACCAGTCTGAGTCCTTATCTGGTCCAGCCCCACTCTGTGTCCCACGCGCCCCACGCACACTGGCAGGGCTCTGTTGTGAAGACAGTCGCCAGTTCTCTCAGAAGGGCATCTGTATGAAATCGAAGACCTCACGCGCTGTTAACACGCACTGCTGTTACATGTACCACGAAGACAGTGGTGATGTGCCCTGAAAGCACGCCGCCGTGTTCTGTCCTATCACCTGTAGGCTGCACCCCAATCCCAGAGACACTAAAATGTAAAGGGGGGATATCAATGAATTTAAGTAAGTGTTCCTTTTTTATACCTGAAGGAAAGGCATTAAGTTCCATGTTTCTGGGAATAAACAATAAAAAGGAAACATTTTCCATATTTTCAGTGGCATTCAGATTCTACAGAAAGACTAGAATCATTCTTGAGTAGAGGGACAGAAAATAAAACTGTAATTGCCATCGTGGTTTTAAACACAGTGAATTTATGATATTTCTTTTCTTTCTCTATGTTGGTTAGAGAAAGGAAAATGTGCATTATCTTATCCATGTTTAGATCCCTCTCAGGTCGAATTGTTGGAGGTGTTTGGTGGTTCTTTACGCTCATCATTATATCATCTTACACCGCTAACCTCGCCGCTTTCCTGACGGTTGAGCGAATGGTCTCCCCCATAGAAAGTGCGGAAGATCTGGCCAAACAAACAGAGATTGCCTATGGAACCCTGGACTCAGGGTCAACAAAAGAATTCTTCAGAGTAAGTTAAGGGAAAAACTAACCATGAAATGTTCATAATTTTGAAATTCAGGCTGTTTGCCAACAGTTATATTACAGGCTCTAGCTATTTGTAGGTTTTGCAAATATAATAGTGATGCTGTGTTTATTGCTAATACTTCTACTTGCTTTTATAATCACTTTAGTTTGCAAAAGCTAATTAATTTATTCACATTGCAAGAGAGACCCAAGGAAAAGTAACAACAAAAAGGTAATTAAGGCAACTTTATAATGTAATTTTCCAAAAGATTCCAACGTTTATAATGCTATGATGATACTGCATCTGGAAGATTATCATTTATATGTGCTTTAAGGTTAAGGGCATAAAAATGAAAGCAAGGTTTTTTGGGTTTGTTTTGTCTTAAGAATATGTTTAACTTGCCGCATTTGAAACCCAAAACCTTAATTGCAGCTTATACTTACTTATATGAGGTATAGTCTGTAATCTGTTCTGCAGCAATGGATTTCAAAGCAATAGATTTGCTTTCTCACAAGATAATGGTAACAGAACTATTAGGTTCTGGATACCTTCACAAGATATTGTGTGTGCTGATTTCTCTGCTTTTACAGATAAAATTGTTCAAACTGATATAATTTCACATATGGATATGATGACCCCTTTGGCTTGCCATCGGGATGGCAGGTACTTGGGGGTTTTTTTGTTTCTGTTTTTTTACTTGTTTTTTCCACTATGAGGATGAATTTTTGATCGGTGAAACTCTTTCACTGTGCTTCTACTTAAATCCAGAGATACGCACTTGGTAATGTCTGGTCAGAGATAAGGATTCATTTTGTGACTTCAGAACAAAAACATTAAAAGGTAGTCAGAGTGACATTTTCACAAATATTTACCTAAGTAATAATGAGGATATTTTACATTTAATTTCAATTGCTTACAGGCTAGATATTTAATAATTTAGGAGACAAGAATATTTCCCTGTTTTCTAAGCTTTCATGTAAAAATAATGACAGCCCTTTGAAGTGCATGCTTACATATACAGTACTTGGGAGATTACATTGTCATTTTAAATGTATATGCTTATCATTTTCCCACTCAGCTTGGAAATTAAAAACAACAAAACATCCTACTCTTTAAGCCAGCCTTAACTTTCGTGTACTTGAAGTTCAGTGAGAGATTTCTCTTTTTAAAAAAGATCTGACTCTGGTATCCTTATATACTACAGGTGTTTACATAATACTGAATTAAGAACAAACCAATCAAAAACTTTGTCAAACCCATCATTGGGCATTGTTTACAAAGGAAACCAGGCAGTGAACCGTGTCCTTGTCAACAATTTAGAGAGCATTGTTAGTAGATATAATGAAACATTTACGATAATTATAAAGTATTTGCAAATTTTTCTAAAACTGTAAGTAGACAATAGATTTTACTAACAATATTCTCTGGATAAACTTAACTGACCAAATTTTTAAAACTTACGGAGTGCATCCCAGTCTTTAAAGCTTCCTGATAGAAGCATACTGCTCTCACACATTTTAGCAAAATTTCAATACCTTGCCAGAAATCTATAAATTTGTAACTGCTTCCACCCTGAACTAGGTAGGTAAAATTCAGTAACTTTGCCTAGAAACCATTATGCATAGGCATCAAAATGGAATACAAGTTTGTGCTATCACTTGCACTTTACCAAGAAATGATGACTGATTTTCATGTAAATAAGGTAAATATTTGCAGGTTCATCATTCTGGCCTTGAGTGATAAAGGGAGAAAGAAATGTCATGTTGATTCCCTGAAAAAAAAATTTTCAGAAACAACTCACTGTACAGCTCCTTGGCATCAAGCACACTGAAAATGTTTATTTCTAATCTTTATAGAGTTTTTTAAAAGTGTTGCAAATTCTAAAAACTGGTGAGGTAGATAAGAGACCATATTGATAAGAAATAGAGGACGAAGGGAAGCAGCTTGCTGGATTTACAGAGCCTTCCACACAGGCCGTGCCCGTCACCGTGGCCTGTTGCCTCCCCCCGACCCCTCCCAGGCAGCTTTAAAATGGAAACACTTTTTTATAAGGTATTTATTGTTGCAGAACAGCCTGAAGCCTAATGGGACAAGAAAATAATTTTCCCTGGCAGCAGCCTTTCAGGAATGCACGTGTGTTCTCTGATAAAAATCTAATTCATTTCCTAAGCTGTGTTCCCCCTCTCCCACAGAGGATGACCTGGTTTAAATAAACCGTTCTGTCTGACGGGTGGAGGCAACAGAATGTGAAGGGTATTTTTGTACTTGTCAGAAATGTTTTCTCGTAGGAACACAGTACCAGTACATCTCTCAGCCCCACTAAACTGCCTCAGGGAGTGACTTACACTCAGTGCTTCCAAAAAATGTTGCAGTCACAAATCAACTGGAGAAAGAATTAGGCCATGGGGGGAGATTACACCCGAATTCAACTGCTGCCTTGGTTTTTGCCCCATTATGAAACTTGGTACGTTCTGTGTTCTCTGCATCTTGTTAAGCATAAACGTAGAGGCATTTAGGGAAAGTCTGGACCGGTCACTGAAGGGCAGCCTTGCTGGCTAGGTGTTTAGACATCATTATACACCTGATGCACACACACTGATTTTCATTGCGGTTCATATTTTATACTGTGGCTGCTGGAGTCATCAGTCAAACCACGAAAGCATAAATGAGGTGGATTACTATCTCAGGGCTTATTTAAGGTTATCAAATATTGCAAACAGAAGCCTTGCTGCTTAAGCTGCTGGAAGTGGGAAATAATTCACCTGGCAACAATATTAACATTAACTATAATGTGTGACATCTGTCCATATTTTCTGTGAAAAACAGGAAAGGCAATTTTTGAGAAATTTAAAGGACAGCACATTTTTTAAAACTCCAAGAATTATTTGCAGTGATAAAATAGTGCTTTAAATCAGTAAGTTTTCTATGCATTGAACTTCACAATAAGGAATTAAATAAATCAGATTATTTTTCTAATCTCAAAAAATAATGACTTCTGTATTATCTTGGCTTATTACTTTGAGCATATTCACTCCCCAAACCTGATCTTTAAGAAGATATTATAGTTGAAGATGTTAGGGACTTAAAAATCCCATTATCACTGTATTTAGGACTTTGCTGGGTCTGCAGAAATTCCCTTTTAGCCTCTCTCATCAAATTTACAAAGATTTGCTTGCCCTCGCTCCTTAGCACACACCTCTGGTGGTCACAAATAAGGCACAGGGATATTGTGTCCAGTCCTTCCCTTCTTGGATGCCCCCAGCACCCCCCTTCCCATGCGGATGTGACCTTATCTCTGCCATGCACCTTGAAATCAGAATCAGAATTTCTAAACATTCACAGAGTGACCAACAGTGTGATTTTTCCCCCAAAGAGTTGCTTTCATTATTCCTCTCTTTTCCACCGGGATGCTATATTTTTACAATATCCTTTATACATAAGGCTTGCTAAGTGTGGCCCAACTACACTACGGATCCCTCTTTCTTCTGGACTTTAAAGGAATTAATGTAACTTCTTTTGCACTTCTGGTATACGTAATTCAATATATTTAAACAAAGGCAACAGTAATTTCCCTCACATTAGCGTTATGCAAATGGACTTTTAAAAAATATCAGTTGCCTAAAAATACTTTATTCCTTTAAAAAGGAATCATTTGGGCACCTGGGTGGCTCAGATGGTTGAGCGTCTGCCTTCGGCTCAGGTCATGATCCCAGGGTCCTGGGACCGAGTCCCACATCGGGCTCCTTGCTCAGCGGGGAGCCTGCTTCTCCCTCTGCCTCTCTCTCTCTCTCTCTCATTAATAAATAAATAAAATCTTTAAAAATAAATAAATAAATAAATAAATAAAAATAAAAATGAAAGGAATAATTTCCTGTAATATTTTTTGCATTCTATAGTTAAATTGTCTTCCTAATTACCAAGCCCTTAAAAATACTCTTTTTCCACCCTGCTGTGTTAGTTTTGTTTAGTGGTTCCAATTCCTTTAAGTAAGATGCTGAACAGTAACAGGAGAATTGCCAGCTAACTAGCCAGACTCTCATATTCTTAAAAAAATTCAAAAATATTGTTCGATCAAAATAATACCCAGGTTTTATTTCTTCTGTTTTCAATGTGGTATACATGATGATGAGGTATGCAATGTATGTGGAACTCTGTATCTTTTTAGATGAAACTCTCAAGTCATCACTATATTTTAAAGAGTGATTATACGCCAAAAGGATGTTATTTACCAACATTTCTCTAAATGGTAATAATCAGAATAAATGTTAAGGACGTCTGTATCTGGTGATCCAGACAGTTTATGATTTTCAGAGTTTGGAACTTGTTGTAAAATGGCAGAGTTCATTCTCTGGAAGAGAACTCTGTTATTAAAGATGGAATGATTAGGGCCAGGCAACAAGGCCTCCCTAATGGATCCCACGCTGAGGGTTGTGAGTCCAGACACTCCTCTGTCCTAAAAGCACATAGAACATTTGCAATTTCATTTAGTACTTGGCATGCAGCTTCCTAATGTAAGGATTTCTGTGGCCAGAGGTCACCTGTCATTACACACACACACAAGATCTATATCACTGCGGTATTTTTAAGTGTTAATAACATGAAAACACCTCATAGGACAATACAGGATATCTATTTTCCATCTTGATATTTACCAGCATTTGAATGTACATTAACATAAAATATCTGTTTTTTAATAAGTGCCCAAGTATGCAAATCTCTTACTGTTATATAGGATATTGATTACTAAGTTTCCATCTTCTGAAACCAAAATTTTAAATACAACTTTTATCAGTTTCTTTCTTTGTCAACCCAAATCCTTTGATTTTACCCCAAAACATGTCTTCCTAAGTTTGCTATTCAGGATATTTGTTGATTATTGAAGATCTGTCTCTTACTGGACTCTATATTCTGGTAACCAAAGGAGGGTCCTTATAAAACAAATATACATGCTACTCAGGATTTGCCCTCGTGCTTAGATGTAAGTCTGAATGAAGTCTCCATTAATTTTTATTTGGATCCAGATGCAAAATTTCAGCATCTTGTTACTGAACAAATGCACTTGCACCAGAGAAGTCTGTGTATCCTCGTATTATCAAACAGGATGCAGGCTTTTCTACCTCATTAAATATATCCCTTGGGGTCATTTGAGTTCATTTGGTTGTACTTTCACCTTTAAAATGTCTGTATGGATGAAAAAATCTAACAGGAATGCAGATACCAGCAGAAGGTTCTAGGTAAATTAAGTAATGGGAGTAAAGTAGATGGAGCCCAAATAGAAATAAAAGATTTCTTGGCTGAAGTCAGGGTACCAGAAAGACTAACTATCCACAATATATCCTAGGAAAACAAGAATCGCCTTTCTTTTTCAGTTTTTCTAACTTTTTACTTGAAAAACATTTTTGATTTTTATTACTGAAGTGTTGACATAGGTTGTTAGATTAGTTTCAGGTGTAGAGTATCATGATGCATCACTTCCGTGCATCACCCGGGCTCCTGATGATAAGCGTGCTCAACATCTGTCCCCACACAGCCTTGCCAGGCCCTTCCTGACCCTGTTCCCTAGGTGGCACTTTTCATCTCTGTGACATTTATTGTATACCTGGAAGTATGTACCGACAGGGAAGGAATCACTTCTCTTTAAAGTTCTAGGGATGTTCTATTTGGAGATTTTATTAGAAAAAGTCTGCAAATGTTTGGTGGACCTAGACTTTGTGTCTTGTGTTATGGACGTTTGGCTTGTGAACCCCACTATATCTGCTCCTCCCTTCGTGACTTGATACGGACCGCTCTTCATCCACATCTTAGAACACTTCACATTAAAACTGGGAGGCATGAGAAAAGATAGAAATGAAAACAGTATAGCAGCAGTCCTCAGTCAGTCATCAGATTTGCAGAGCGGGCCCCTTTCGGGTTTACCATGACTGTGATACAGACATGATTGTAAATGTCCCACTCTCTCTATGGCACCCTGCGTTTAAAAATAATAGTAATAATACGTTGTTCTTTAGGCAGCTGAGTAGGGTAATCATGTATGACCAGAGGGACCCACTTGTTCAGATGTCACTCCTAAATGTCTGCCGTTTCCATGATGTCCTTCACCCGTTGTAAAAGGCAGTTTTCTAACTGGAGGGGAAAAAGTCAGCCAGGCCGACTGGAGTTGCAGGACCAGGGAAGGGTACTCAAAGAGGCTTTCTCCTCGTCTGGGTCTGGTCACTATTAACATGTCGTTCCCTTCTCTCCTGTATTTAATTTTATTTGCATTTCCTCCAGAGATCAAAAATAGCGGTGTACGAAAAGATGTGGACCTACATGCGATCCGCAGAGCCGTCTGTGTTCACTAGGACTACCGCGGAGGGAGTAGCTCGGGTCCGAAAATCCAAAGGCAAATTCGCCTTCCTCCTGGAGTCCACTATGAACGAGTACATCGAGCAGCGCAAGCCGTGTGACACAATGAAAGTGGGAGGAAATCTGGATTCCAAAGGCTATGGAGTAGCTACACCCAAGGGTTCTTCATTAAGGTGGGTGGGATAGTATAACAATGTAACATGTGTTGTTATAATATTCCACCTTCCCTGATGTCCCCGACACAGTGATTTTGTTTTGTGTGTGAACATGGTATGTTCGTTTTTTTGTTGTTGTTTTTCTTTTTCTCCATTTCATACGTTTTGATCAACAGTCAGGTAATTTTTTTTAATTTGGAATAATTAATCCTAGTTGACCTGTATATCTTTGAAGGCCATATAAAAACCAAACTGGTTGAACACTAGCTGCCTCCAGTGGGCCTAAAACGTGGGTGGCAACGCTTCCGTGTCCCGTCCACTTCTTTCAGTCACTCAATTCTGTGCTCTCATTTTGTCAGCTAATGATTCTACATTTTATCATGATTTTTTTTTTTTTTAGTTCTGCCTGCCCGCTAGTTTCTGAGTACGAAGAAATCAACCTCTTCCTAACAAACCACTTTTTTTTCTCCATTTCAGTGTTTCATTGATTATGGCATCTTTATATTTTAGATTAACCTGAGGTTGTATCAGTGCCAACTTTGTAACTGCATCTATTCATAGATGGGGTCATGATCAGCGGGAAGCAGGCTCTGATTCTATGGGGCTTACTCCCGTCACACTCGCGCCCGTTGCAAAGGGAGTGTGGTGTAAGTAAGATCTGTAAAATTAGACCCAATGACAGTCCAAATTATTCACACACAGAGCCCTGAAATGTGATTCATAAGCACAGCATCACACATGTGAATTACTCAGATAATCCACATGTGTTAAAGATGAGACTTTCATTCTTAAGGAAATGCTGGTAAAATCTGCCCTTTTTGCCCTTTCGGTCCTGGACATAGGGAATTCACATGTTTATGCCCAGGAGGCAGAATATCCTATTTTCCTTAAGCAATAAAGGCTACTGGTGAATTGCTGGGGCTAGAGCAAAGCCGGAGTCAGCAGTGACAACTGACAAATCACTCTGGTCTCAGTGCTGCTTAGGAGGGATTCGTACAAAGCACAGATTCAAGAAGAAATCAGAATCTTTGCTAAAGGACTTAACCACGAACCCGGTCTTGAGAAATGATGTCTCTGGTAAGCCTTTGAAATGTGAAAGTAATGAGACCTGTACTGTTGCCCAGTAGGAATGAAAGCAACGTAAAGATGATAGGATTTTTCTCATTGGTTTGAACAAGGGAACTGCAGCGTGCTTTGGGTATGTGTGTTGGGCGGGGGGTGAGGGCGTGGATGACACAGATCCCAGAAACAGACAGTAGCCCTGGGAAGTTATGTTAAACTGGTATTTAGTGTTTGCAAGCAGCACTGTAATAATTAGTGAGGGGTTTTACGGTGTGTCCAAAAGGGACCATTTTAAAAGGAGAGAGGTTAAAATGAGCCGGTAAAGACAGACTTGGGTGTGGACTTTGGCAGAAAGTCACGTTTCTTTGCACATACTTCCCGTATGAAACCAGAGAAATGTCCAGGGAGAAAGCCAGACCAATAAATTACGCGTGACAAAATTCTACCCCAAAATGTTCCAACCATTCAGAAACTCAAACTGGCATTAGAGTGTTTGGTCTTCGAGGGTATATTTTGTAGGATGCGATAGGAGAAATATGACATTTCGGCAAAGCCAAGGAGCAAAGAAATCTCTATTGAAGTAGGAGTTGTGAGAGCACCTTCGTGTAGCTAATTTAAAAGAACGGGAAGGGGAGAAAGCTATGGTGGTTGATATGTAGATCAGTGTTCAGACTATTGATTACATTCACTGGATGTCACTTTTGCTCTTAATTAATTCTCTGTGGATGTAGCTGCCTTGTCCTCTGTCTTGTGTCTACTGATAAAGTCAAGTTCCAGGGACTGCATTTGGCCCTCAGATACGGGTGCGCCTGACTCCCATTGATGGCAAGAGTTCCCTCTTAAATGTGCCACTTTGTCAAATCCACACTACGGGGCTTGTTTGGGGAGACGCTGAAGGGCTTCATCTGTCTAGAACTGTATAATAATCCGCTATTGGCTTCCCCTTCTTTTCCTGTCCTTCCCTGGATCTTGTTAATGAGGCAATTGTTAAACCCAGCTTCCTGGATGGAGAGTTTGTTTATGCGCTTTGTTTTATATATGCCACAGTTTCCTGAGCAAGCTGGCCCCTGCATGCCAAAACCACAGCCCTTTTGTCCGGTCTTCGAGAACACTGGAAGAGCAGGGAAGGCTAACCGGCGTGCACCTTACCCCCCACCTCCTCACTTCCCCACCCCCAGCCCAGCTAGCGGGGGCACGCATCAAGCTTAAACTCTCTTCTTATTCAATGAGGAGCCTCCTGTTTGAACAGAGGCAAACTCTCAGAGATGGACGAATAGGCACCTTCTGTATAAAGGATTTACTTTGTAGAAGCAAATTCAAAACAATTGCATTTATCACAGCAAGATCCCGAGGGCACATCTGCATCAAGAGTATGTTTGAAACCTTTCTGCCTTATTTGTTCAGGAGACTGTTTTTCTATGGGATCTTTCTTTTAACTAAGTCTTTACGTTAATAGTTCTGGATACAGTGAGATTAGTCTGTTTCCTTGTCTTTCTCACAAACTCTGCTGTTGTGATTCACTGGGCAACATGAGACTTGAAGAACAGGAAAACGGTAGTCGTTCCTGCTACGTCAGCGGAAGCACAGAACGCAGACAAATGGCTAACAGTCTTCCAGTGGTCTGGGGAGTCTCATGTCTCCGGACCTTGCTGTTTGGTCACAGTGCTTCACAATCAATGTCCCAGAAAAGAGGAACACTAGGGTATAGAATCAGGATGGAAAGGCAGGACTGGGGTCTTCACTGCAGACCTTCAAACAAATACAGTCTGGATCGCTACAGAGGCTGTCTCGGTGCGTGGGGTAGAAAACACTGCAGCGGGGATGACCCGCACCCGTCTTCACAGGAGAGGAATAGCGCACAGAGCTCCTCGTTGTTGGAAGAGACTATTTCAGACTCGTGTTTGCGAGGTTTACAGAAAGCTGTCAGTTACAGAAGGGCAGTAACCACGGTCAGAAATTATTGGGTTTCTTGTACTTTGACACAGATTCGTCAGGTTTTAGGTCATAGAAGGATGCTAGGAATGTTGATGCCGTTGAACGTCACATCTCTAGGTCTTACTATAATACAGAGGAGTGATAACAGGCAGATGTGCCCACGAACTATAAATACCAGGCAGTGGGAGAACTCAGATCTTACTGGCATAGTTATTTATTTTCCAAAGTCATCTTCTAAAGAAAACTTCCAGTTCTCATTGTGAGATGAAAGGGTAAAATCTCTTCTTTTATATTATCTCTCAACTGTCCCCACGCTTTGATGTTTCTCTCGAATCTTCTTTTCCTGTGCACAGTGCCATTTATACGACTCTCCGCGTCCTGGCCTGCCTTCTCGTTCCTTCTCCAATACTCGTGACAACCCAAAACAATTGTGAAATCCATCCTCTGGCTGAGAAATTTTTACAACACATGCTTTAGACAGCACTGCAGTGGGAATGCAGAGTTTAGATGAAAGAGGCAGTTTCTTTACTTTGACTTTACCATTAGTACTGTCAGCTTCACTACCCAACAGAGACCCACTGTCTGTGGTATTTATTATGTAGTAAAGCTGTATACTTGACCACAAAATACTATCTTTACTATATTATCCAAGTTACACTAGTTGCTGTACTCTCTACTATGCAACAAATAAAACCAACAGATGTTGTTTAGAGGGAATCGTAACTTGGTTAATACAGAGATGTACTGGGTACTAAATAGCTGTTAGATGAGAAGACCCCTCTTGGAGATATTCCTGGTATGTCATATCTGTGTGTACCTCCAGGGAACATAGCAAGGGAGCCTATCCGAAGACTTCCGCTGGCCTCTGTAAGAATTTGTAGACTCAACCCTAGTGTTTGAAGCCCAGTTAAAAAAAAAAAAAAATCAAAAACCAAAACAAGCACTAGTCTCCTATCTTCTGTTATTCAACAGTAATAATTCTTCAGATTTTGCCTTCTCTAAAAATGTTGGCGAGACTGTGTCTAAAATAAGACAAATGCTCTGTCACCCCCCCCCCAAGAAAATGTTTCAAAAGAAAGCAGTTCCAAAAGAACTTGATCAGTAATTGAGATCTGGGGGCACAGAGGCCCAGTAGGACCTGCTGCCCTCCCTTCGCAGGGAGCCCATAGCAGCCAGAGCAGGACCTCAGCAGCCAGGCATGTGAGGTCAGCTCACTACAGCCACCGCCGAGCCCGGGGCCAACGCGTGGCGGGGGGGTGGGGTGGGGGTGGCAAGTGCGAAGCAAGGGAATCAGAGTAACACAGCTTCTATCCGACTCTTTCAGTCTTGAACGCAATCCCTGGCCCAAGTCTAGATCTCTGTCAGCATGGGCAGCGTCCTCAGTAGGCCAAATCATGTTTCTTCCGCTTTGAAGGATCCTTTAGGGTGGATGTACTAAACTAAATTCAGATCCACATGTGAAAAAATATATTATCCTTAAGGAACCACTTTCTCATGTAAAATTGGTGATAGGTGTTTACTCATCAGTTCACATGTACTTACAAGGTTTAGAAACAAGGGGCTTGCTGGATGTTGTGCATGCAAATAAAGTTGATGTCTGTTTTCGATGTTAGTCACAAGTCAACTCCTAGCATTTGATGTGGACATTAGAAAAGCTTAAAAGTACAGAAAGTTAAACCTGAACGCTCATATTCCTGAGCAGCACTTGGCCTGAAGTGATTAAATTTTCCACTGGTTTTCAGGAAATGAGTTGCAGTAGATTAGTACATGTTTGTTTGTTTGTTTAATTTTAACTATCAGGAAAGATGTTTTTGCATATGAATATCCTTTACTTTTCTTGATGTCATAAGAGATACTACAGGTAACTTAGTTTTTGTGATCCCATTACGACTTGGAATATAGTCTGTTGGACTAAGGGTTAGAACACACGCACACAAGCACACAAATCCCCCCACCCCCAGTTATAACATGCTTAATCACTTACCCAGTTTCCTACCAGAGATGCTGGTGTTTATTGCAGG